TATAAACTCTGACCTACAACCAGAAATAAGTAAAACAGAAATCGAGAAAGCAATTCAAGAATTAAAAAACCATAAGTCACCTGGAAAAGATGGAATAACTGCAGAGATGCTGAAGAGAGGAGGGAAAACAACTAGAGAAGTCCTACATATCCTCATGAACAGAATATTGACCACAAAAGAAATACCCGATAGCTGGAACGATGCGGAGACACTATTAATGTTCAAAAAAGGTGACCGAAAGAACTTAGAAAACTATAGACCTATACCATTACTAATGTTGTATTAAACTATACGAAGATCATGACAAATAGACTAAGAACTAAGCTTGACGAATACCAAGCAAGAAAACAAGCGGGATTCAGAAAGGGTTTTAGTACTAGCGACCATCTGCTAACAGTAAAAATACTGATTGAAAAGTCGAACGAGTATCAAATCCCATTATACATGGCATTCATAGACTTCCGAAAGGCGTTTGACAGCATAGAACATTGGGCCATTAAAAACTCATTACAGAACGGCAGAATTGATTACAGGTACACGGACCTAATAACAAACATATACAAAAATGCGAGTACCACAATAAAATTGACGAACGAACACGCTACAGAACCAATAAAATTCGAAAGAGGAATCAGGCAGGGAGACACAATATCGCCAAAATTGTTCAATCAGGATATGAAAGACATATTTAAAAAATTAGAATGGGATACATACGGAATAAGAATAAATGGAGAGCTCTTGAACCACTTGAGATATGCAGACGATATAGTCCTGATAACAGATAAGAAGGAAGAGTTACAGAAGATGGTTGAGGAACTAGATAGAAAAGCGACAGAGGTAGGTCTAGAGATGAACTATAGTAAAACCAAGACTATGACAAACCAAGAAGACCAATTAGAAATAGTAGTCACTGAACAACATAACAATAGTTAGAGCAGGTGGCAGAATACATATACCTAGGACAGATAATAAAGCTGAACAGGGACAATCAAACAAAAGAAATAAAAAAAAGAACTATGTGTCATGTCATGGTGAATATAACGGATACAGCATTCATCTGTGTCAGCCTTTCGATCCTATAGAGATAGGTCCTAAACACCGGTGTCCTGTGAGCACCTGCGTCAGGAAATAATCCAGTCGCCTGTCGTCACAGTCCACCCAATCTCTTATGTTCGAGATCAGCATGTTCGTCCACTGTGCCACATTCTCGGTGTTGTTTCATTCTTCTTGACATCTTTCCTGTCTTCTCTTGGCCACAGTAAGCTCTCTCATAAAGCTCTTTTCTTCACACATTAAGTGATTGTCCATAAGGCTGCTGCAGTCACAGTCTTGTAGGCGCATGCCGCTCGTAACAGACTTGTTCTGTCCACTCATGTCATGAGACTCCTATAGGTCGTTCTCTCTACCGCCTTGCTCCTGACTGGTGCCGCGTAGAGGACGATCGACTGTATAATACCGTGTAAGACCCTTCTTCTTTCGGATTTGGGTCCTCCAATGTTCGGCATCCCCCTTACCAACGCGGCCGCACTATTCGCAGTCTTCCGGACCAACTCCCGTACGTGTTCGCCCATGTTCCATTCTGCTGCAATGTCACTCCTAGATACTTTACTTGTGTCTTGGGTATTAGACATGCTTCCGCACATTTTAATTTAATACTTTTCCCGTTCCTTGTTCCCTTCAGAATGATGGCTTCAGTTTTCTCTATCGCAAGTTTCAGTCTATGCTACGTTATCCATTTACTTACGACGCGGCCTGCATTCCGGACCCGGTATTTGACATTTGGCTCATCCCGGTCCACTACCAGTACAGCGAGGTGATCCGCGAATGCAAAGGGGGTTGTACCCTCTCCGTATTCACAGTGCATAACCCCGTTATATGCTAGATTCCACAGCATCAGATCACTGAGGTATCCCGGCGGTCACGTCCACGATCGTGCCTTTTCTTCTAATCCTTCTCTCGGACAGATACTTCGCCACCACATTCATCAGGTAACCAGGACATTCTCTCTCTTCCATTACCTTTATTACCTCGTTTTACTTCAGTGTATTGAATGCATTCTTAACATCAAACAACAGCAGGCCGCCCAGCGATGTTCATCCTCTCTGTTGCGCAATGCTTCGAGTACACTAATGATTCCATCAATAGTGCTTTTCCCTTTACAAAAAAGAAATTGCCTCCGAGATAAACCACCTGACCTCCCAATCATGTCATCTATGCGTACTCACAGCATCCTTTTATACAACTTGCTGATGCATGGAAGAAGACAGATGGGGCAATACTTTTCCAAGCTTTGGGCAGACAAAGCAGTATTAATCGCGTTAGGCTGTTTGTTCGAGCTGTTTGGCCGTTGTCTTCTAAGATTAGTTTTCGATGTTTCGCCACCACTAGGGGTTGTCATCTTCTGGAGGTGTTGACTCCAGATGTACTCATTCAGCTTTTCACACAGCTCTTTCCAGTGCCTGTTTTTTTCTGTACGGATTTTCCTGTACAGTTCCCTCTTCCTTGTGCGGTAATCTTCCTCGATCTCTTCGATGACCTCAGGGTTGATTCCTGCTCTGCCTCTTGCTCTTGTTAACCTTCTTCTCATTGCTCATAGTGCTCATAGGGGACATAGTGCCTCGATGTCCGCATTCCCCCAATATGGCATCCTGTTGACATCTGGGCGATCAATCTTGCTTCATTCCATCGCTTTTTTAATGACTCTCTCCAGGCTTTCCACCGTCAGTGATTGACCCTGCATTATGCTCACTCTCCATTTAATTAGCTACTCGTATACTTTCCAGTCATTCCCATTGCCGCATCTGCCCCCCGACGTCCCTAATGCACGGACCGTGTTAGTGGTCCCCGTTCCAGTTATTGAAAACTCGATGTACTGATGTTTAGTTCCGGTGTAGTCTGGCAAAACCTTTCAGCCTCTTGCTTTTGCCGCTATTCCTTGTGTCGCCATGGTCACGTCAATATATGTACCTGTAACTCTCCTAATAAACGTAGGTTCCAGACCTGTGTTAAGAACCACTAGGTCTAAAGTACTCACTCAGTCAGTTAGTATCCTGCCGCGAGTAACGGTGATGGTCTGCTGCGTTTGCAAAGAAAAAAAACTGTTTTTTTGCTTTTTTTGTCAAAGCTAAAATGTCGTAACATGTAGATAGTAAAAAATTGGTAGTGAAATTAGAAGAAGAGAATTTCATTATTGTTATTTTTGCTATCGTTATTTTTTGATGTAATAAGAAAGCATTAAGAAAAGCAGCATCAACAATAAGTTCCATAACAAATTTTCTATATCATTTTATGCTTTTTCGATTTTATACTACAAGGGCAAGGGCCTGAAAAAATGTAACAAATACATGGAAAATTCAAAATGTGATATTTTACTGATTGCATATATAAATTACATAGAGATAGTATAATTATAAATTTTGCTTAGATTTTGAATTTCTGACCAATGAATAATGCGATTTGAGAGATTTCTTCCAGTCTCACCAATATACTCAGCATCACACTGAGTACAACCAATGCTGTATACTACATTTTGTTTGATCTAATTTGTCTATAGGATATTTAGTTTTGGAATATAAAGATGAAATGGTTTTGATGTTCTTTGCTGCTATTTTTATATTGTCAATAACCTTTAGTGTTTGTATTAATTTAGGAGTTAATGATGATATAAAAGGTAGTGAATGATAATATATGTTCTGATTCTTGGATACAGTGTTTTGAGATTTATCAAAAAATGGTGTTAAGTTATTTATATTTAATAAATTAAAAAAAAAGCATCCTATGTAGCATATCTGGAGAATAAGAGTTTTCAATTAAAATATTTTTTAACAAATGAAGATCTTGTAGATAGTCTGGATGAGAAAGTTTTAAAACACGTTCCTTTAATCCTGTTATGAGGTTCATTTTCATCTTATTTGGATGATGAGAGTAATAGCTTATAAATCTATTACTACATATGGGTTTTCTGAACCATCTGGTTTTCAACATATGTCTGTATTTCTTACAATTCTCATGTCAAGGAACGGTAGAGAATTATCTACTCTTCCTAAACTGTAAATTGTATATGTTGATTATGATTCTTGAAAATGTTGACTGTTCCAAGAATTTTGTGTTTAGGAAGTGCCAAAACTAGATGAAAATAAGGGTATAAGTACCGGTATATATATAAATATATATATATATATATAAATATATTTATATATATACCCGGTACTTATACCCTTATTTTCATCTAGTTTTGGCACTTCCTAAACACAAAATTCTAATATATATATATATATATATATATATATATATATATATATATATATATATATATATATATATATATATATAGGTATTTAGGCGGTACACGCCCTTCCAGTAATGATCTATGGAGGAGTATCACCGAGCCGCAAGCCCTTATCTCTCGCCGTACTGCTCCACCATAGGCCGATAGGCCGATTAGACACCAGCATATTCTAGTCTAAGCCGCAGATTCATTTAGAATTTTAAAACTGCTGAGTTAGAAGTTTTGTTTTCTGTACACCGAGCTGGGGATCGAACTCACATCACTCACAGTGAACGAATGAGAAACCGGCCGCCTAGCCCGCTTGGCTATCTGACCGACTTATTACATTTTTTTGATGGTTAAAAAATAAATGATCTGGCAATATTTAATGTCTTAGTGTGAATTGCATTAGCAGGTAAATGTTCTATGGCAAAAATTTAATTTAAAACATGGGAACAATTTTTACAATCTCAGTATTTTCCTTATGGTTCTTTAATTAGTAAGACATTTTTTTAAATGTGTAATAAAGTATGTATAAATATTACATTAATTTCATTTGCTTTTAGCAGAACAAAATCCAAAGTTCTTACTAAACACAAAATATGTAAGTATATAAAATTAAATAACTTACTTTGCAAGTGATTGGAATTAAATTTTAAATTTTAAAAACTGTTTGTTTAAATAAATAACAGTGTTTAAATTTTTTTTTTCTGTAAATACAATTTTTATTTACCATCTAATTTAGTTTACCATACCATATAAGTTAATAGTCTAATAGGTTTTTTACTTTTAATTATTTTAAACAAATTATCAAAAGGATCGCAAAAATTCAAATGAAAAAATATTTTTTAGCCTTTTTTAAATTTTAAGTATTTCTTTAAATAAGAACTGCTAAATTTTTTGATTTTATCAAAAAGTAGATGTTTCAGAGAAGAAAATGAGCACAGAAAGAGCAAAAAAATTCCACTATTCATTTTTTTCCCAAGGACAGTGACATTTTTTTTATATTTAAGACTATATATATAAATATATATATATATATATATATATATATATATATATATATATATATATATATACATTATATATATAAATATATACACATATATATATATATATACATATATATATATATATATTATATATATATATATATATATATATATATATATATACATATATAGTACATTTTTACTAAGTTATTAAGAAAAAAAGACAAATTTCTTTACTGTTCCCGGTAATTTTAAAGTTTTGTAAAAATGTTACATAACAAAATTTAATTTTGATATTTAATACAAACATCATGATTTTTCTATTATCTACAATTTTTGCATTTGAAATTTTTTGATAAGAAGTCAAGTATCGCCAGAAATTAAAATTTTTTTATTTTCTTTGAAACTCTCACAAATAACCCTCGGTACTTTTCAGCTGTTTAATTTACTTTTATTTGGTATACTATATTCCTACCTACCACTTTCTGTCATAAAACTTTAGATAACATTTTTAATTTTTTTTTTAATTAAAGTTGAGCTAATTTGACTGGTCTATTAAGTAATGTATTTAAAAGCATCTTTATAGAATATATCAAAGAAAATTAACAAAATGAAAGCTTTTAACCTTATTTTCGAAACTATTACACATAAAATTACTTCCATGAAATACCAAAACATCCGTACGTTACAGGAAGTTTAACAATTCCATTGATTTTCGCCGAACCAAATAGCTTCGGGTGAAATATATCTTGCATGTTCTGTACTTGATGTGACAGAATTATAAGCAAGTTGTTTCAAAGGATTTCTCTCTACATTCACTTTCCTGTAGTCTTGCTCTTAGAAATTATGTTATACGTTGTACATAGCTATAAAGATGAGGGTGGTAAGTTCATTTCCCGTGTGCTTTACTCTATGTCTAGAACAAATAGTGTACGAGAGGTCTGAAATTTAAGTTTAAAAATTGGCAAAGAAATACAAAATATATTTATATTAAATTGTACCAACCAGTGAATATAACAATTGGACGGCCTCAGTGCAAAAGGTAACATGTCAAATTACTTGGTTTTGAGGAAACGAAAAAAAACGATTCTTGGGTTTTTTTCGAATAATTTTTTTCATATTCTTTCAGAAAACGATACAAAATAGTGGTTATTATTGAACTTTAAAAAAATTTATAGATGAACTTTCAATTTAGTCAAATTTCTTGACTTGTTACAAAATGCATTTTCCTTACTTGTTACCAATTACACAGACTTACTCAGGTACTATTTATTTTTTTTGCAGCTTCAAAGCACAAAATACATTAAATTTATTTATTTATTTATTTATATATTTATTTATTATAAAAAATGGTAAATAAAAAAAATGCTAGTCCTCTTCGTCACTTATTAAAGGATCGAGCAAAACACCTTGGGCTGGTAGATCTTGATAAAATTTATGATACACCGGCGAGAGGTACAGAAATACTGACAAAATGTCTCTTTTTTTCCAATTATAGTGGCAGTGGTTGTTGGTAAGCCTGTTTTATTTTTGTAAATGATAATTTTGTTTTCAACAGGTTTTTGACCTGTGCATGAGTCGCTGTACAAAACGACATGTGAAATTTTTTTTTCTATTTGGTGGAGTCCATGGAATATACAAGAAGCAATCTCGTTTCCTCCTCTTTTGGCCATATTCTCATACCACAGAAAACATGAAGCGACTCCTGTTTTCATGTTGTACATGGTCAGATTAAATGTTCATAATTGTCGTTTACAGAAGGCCCCTGATGTTTGCACAAGTGAAGTTCCCCAAGCACGCTTGTAAATCAAATGCAATTGAAGTAAAGTTTGGGTTATTCTGACTCTGATGCTTGTCTGACAACTTCATGGCATAAGTTAATAAAGCTTTCATGTGATGATTCTTACTACTTTCCAGTAACTATTCCTTCTCGATAGCTTGAGCGTATGAAAATTTTATTTTAATTTCGTCACGTGTATGAGAAGTACCCTTTTTAGGAATTTTATTTTTATTCCGGAGTTACGAAAGGCGTTGCCATAAATAGTTAAACTGACTGGGTCATCTACTTCTTGTTTATATTTACTGTAAACTTCCTCCGGCGTGTAGTGAGGTGGCAAATATTTTTTAGTAGTCTCTTTACGACAGTAATGACTCTCATATGCTGAAAGAGATGCAAGGTGCTAATGCACCAAAACCATTCTGTCTTTGGATATTTTATTTCCAAGGATGTGCTTGCCTCGTTCATCTGGGGTGGTTGTTGAAGCATGGAAAGCCTTTTTTTGTTGCACAATGGTCTATACAAACTTTACTGTCTCGCCAAATATTGTGAGAAAACAGCTCTTACAGACATCGATCCTTTGGTCTTGAATCGGAATATTGTAATGAATTAAAGCTGTTCTTTTCTTCTGGTTTTTAGGCGTATTTTGTTGCATCCTTTAACCCTGGTTCAGATTATAATCTTTACTTAAGAGACGGCACAGATAGGCTGCCTTTCGGTAACGTGTCTTTAAATTCCAATAGGCAGTGAAAATATTTTTTTTATTTTCAAGTGAAATTTTCCCACTGCACTTCTTTCTGCAAGAAGGCAGTGGTAGCTAAATTCGGCCCAGCAACTTTCATACCTTGCTCCGTAAAATACACTAATCCTTGATTTCTGGATAACTTTCTATTTTTGTTTCTTTCTTCTCTAGTATCACCTTTTGAGCCTCTCTTTTTAACTTTTTCTTTGGGTTGATTTTCCTCTACATTTATTACATCACTGACGATCTGAGGAAGTAAGACTTAAGCACAAAAGTAACCTCCAACAATACGTAACCTTTTGCATTGCACCATGCACATATCCATAGCACACTCCCACCAAGGTTGAATTAATCTATGCACATGTCATTGAGGACAGGGTTGCCAGAGTAGTAATGTCTTAAACAAGGACGGACAAAAGATACCAAACCAAACCAAAATGTACTGTTACTGGAAACTGGAAACATGACATCCAGGCAGTGTTTGGTGAATTCAAATACTGTAAAGGAGGTAACAAGTCCACTTATTTCCTTTTGCACAAATGAAGTTTTTCATATTATTCAACTTATTACGTTCTACACGTAAAAAAATGTAGCCTTTCAGTGGTAGTAGACTTCTTTTTGCACAGAGTTAGACATTGGTAATCCAATTATTATCACATGAGAAAAAAAATCCGAAAAATGACTTGTTACTTTATGCACTGAGGCCGTCCAATTAAAGAGAGCAAAAAAAACATTGAATAACTTCACTGAAACACATAGTGATTGGCGGAACATATCTTGAATCTTCTGTACTTGATTTCTATTTATATCCATTTTTATATTGAATCTGGCTCTTAGAAATTGTGTTATACTTGGTAAATAAATTAAATTATGAAGGTCGTATGTTTATTGCCTATGTGCTTAACTTTATCGTCTTCTCTTTCTTGGCTCTACATCCCTAAAAGAGTCTTGGCCGAGTTAGCTATTTTCCTTTACTTTTGCCGATATTGTGCAGCAATTTCCCATTGTTGCATCTCTATTTTAAGTGGTTTATTCGTTACTGCATCTTTCCATTTTCTTCTTGGGCAACTGACCTTTTGCCATCGGACGTTTTTCAGAAAATTGTATTTAGTAGTCGATCTTAGAAAATATCCTCCATCTTATCCGATTGGGTTTAACGTACCGTACTATAATTATTTTCTTCTCTATATAGTGCTTGGAGTTCCTGGTTATGTCTTTGTCTCCGCTCTCCTCTTATCTCGTACCTACAAGGCTCAAATATCGTCCGGAGGATTTTCCGTTTTTAGAATAATCGTTTCGTTTCTTCACGCTCATTCAGTGTCCATATCTCATTTCCATACGATATTATGGGGTGAATTACAATTTAACCCTTCGTCTGTAACGCCCTGTCTAGTGGACCAAAAAAAAATCTTTTTTCTGTTTCATCCGTACGCTTATGGGTTAGCGGTCTCCCATTTTAGGTATTCCCGGAAAGTGACGGTTTGTATTCAGACAGCTATAAACAGCTGTTAAACGATTATTGTATTTTGAGTATTTGTAGTGATAGGTCAATTGGACGCAGCGTTACAGACGACGAACATATTTTACGGTTGTGTTGTGTTGTGTTAGGCGACGTTTTGTAGAGAAATTGCTTTTAAACTTAGTTCATTATGAATTATGAAAAAGAACAGGAAAGGTTACAACGTTTATTTAATGATATTTTAAGTGATGAACTAAGCGATCCAGACGTAGATCCGGAAGACAGCGAAGAAAGCCTTTTAGAGGATAACGTAGAAGGGCAGTTAATTTATAGTGATACGGAAGATGATTTAGCTGATAATGAAAATGATATTAGTAATAATATATTTGTTACGAGACATCGAGTACCTTGTTTTATAGCCAAAGATGGATCCAGATGGAAAAAGCACGTTAACGAAAAACCAAATGTTAAAACTCGCAAGCATAATCTTATATCACATGGACCGAAGGGTGATATTAAAAGTGCTAAGGAACCATCTATAATATGGTCATATTTCTTTCCAAACAATATTTTAGAAAAAATAGTGCAATATACAAATGAATTTATTGTTTCGAAAAAGTATGATTCCATACAAAATAGAATCTACAAGACTACGGATCTTACTGAAATTAAAGCTTTCATAGGGTTGTTGTATATATCCGGTGCAAATAAAAGTGGCCGTCAAAATTATCAAGATTTGTTTCGCACCAATGGCATGTCCATGGAG